CAAACACTTGTAAGTAATTTTATTTTTTTAATTTATTCATTCAAATATTTTATAATAAATTTTTTATCAAAATTAATTGTTTGTTGGGTGATTTTTGGGAACATAATCAAATTTCATTTCAGCAGAATCCTAATGTGAGAAGAGTTAGGGCTTTAAAGTATTAAGCATTTATTTTTGAGAAAATTTTCGAACACTGTTACTGTGATAGAAGTATTTTCTAATATATTGCACTTTCAGTATATTATCTATACTTTTCCCCTGCGATACCATTCCTAATCATAAAAAATTTTCGAAAATCTATCATATTCTTTGATATTTCTTATAAGGGATTAGAAACATGCTTAAGTATTTACAATATTTTCATTTTTGCTTGAAGTAGTAAACAAGCAGTCTATATTTAATAGTTATGAGCAATAAACAATCGACTCATCATTTTTCACATTTTTTTTTTCATTGATGTTTGACATTGACATAGAGGTGGCAAGCAGAAAAAAAAAGAGGCGCTCATATACAATTTTTTTTTCTATTTAATATCAATGAGTGTACATAGTGTATTCTCACGTATATATTTTAATTTTGTTCATTGGTTTTCCTTGACCGAATATAGCGAGCGAGAGCCTTAAAATTTTTTTTTTTTTTGAATATTTTTAATATCTTCTTCGTTTTTCTTCTTGATGTATCAATATATAGATAAAGGCAAGGACTGGTAGTGGTGATGATGGTTCATCCATTTAAAGTGAATAGAAGAAGAGAAAAAAAAAATGTGAACACCGATTATTCAACCTTTTTTTTTGAGACATGCAATCATACCATCTATTATGTATGCATAGGTTTTCCGTTGTTATATGAAGGTGACACTTCCCATATTTGAAAGTAGTATAAATCGAGTTTTATATTGAAGTCTCATTTATAATATTCATATCTAGACATTTATCTTTATACTTGACAGTATGATTACCTAATTTTTGCGTGTTTATGCAAATCGTAGGACAGAGTGTACCATTAATTGGACAGTAGTTTATACAAAAAATCGAATTTAAACAACAATGAAAAGCTCGATTTTCACCAATAGATTCAATTTTTCAAGGAAATTGAGTGTGTGTGTGTGTATATGTGCGATTGACCAATGGTTTCAGAAAATTTGACGAAAAATTTCAACAGAATATTGAAATTTGATTCACACTGCTATAATTCATTTGTACTAATTTCGAAATGTATGTTTTTTTGTCACTTAAACCGTTTGAGATTAGTGCTTCTTATTCCACTTTGAATGTGTCATTAGGTACGGGAAATACTAATAACTTTTGAGAGTAGAGAAAAGATGCCTACTTTAACATCTATACGTTGTGACCTATGCTCGGAAAAAGAAAGAAAAAAATAAAAAAGAAAGAAAAGAAATTTGTTTTATTATTGTTTTGATGTTATTCTGTTTTTTTCCTCTTATTTTTAAAAAGGATAGAAAGAGAAAGAGACTAGACTATTATATCACATATGAATATAATTATGAGAGACACATGTTTCAAAAACAGAACACACAAAAACACGAAAACAAAGCAAAAAAACTATTGTGTGTAATCAAATGAAATACAGAAGAAAAAAAGGTAACAGGATGAAAAAAAGAAAGAAAAAAAGATGAAAAAAGTTCTTTAAATTGTTCTTGATAACTCCATCACTATTTAGTAAACTGTAGATGACTATTCAGTCAACATAAAAATTGTACTATATAGAAAAGAAACAGATATCTGAGAATAAAGTAGAAAAGAAAATTTACTGTAATATAATTAGAAATTTTTACTTCTGATTTAATAGTGATTCAGAAAAATATGTTGTTTTATTTTATTTCTTTTTGCTCTAAAATATTGGAAAAAAGTTTTATATGTTATACTAGCATCCAAATATTCTAGATAAGTGCTCAAAAAATGGTCATTTATTGTTATAAATAAAAAAAAAAGATATATATGATTTGAAATATCTCAAAATAATGTGTCAAATATTGTTCTCGCCGATGGCAATGACTACGAGCAGTAAAAGAAATTGATTTTTTTATTTTAAGTTTAAGTACTTCTATTTACACGAATGTATAATTGAAGAATCACATTTACTGTATTTAATAGTTTTTCTGAAAACAAATCGACAATTGTCTAGTTAATGCAAATTTTTATGTTGTTTTTGTCAAACTTAAAATCAAAATCTCAATGGAGAATTTTTGTTTTGTAATTTCAACAAATTTTGAAAACGGAAGAAGATTGTTTGATATATGATTTTATTTTTATAACCCACTAGTGTTAATAAAAATGTCAAATCAAATGATCATTTATTACTCGAGATATTGACAAAAGAAAATCTTAAAATTGTTATTGGACTATTTATACATTGTTACTAAAATAGACTGCCATATTTAATGGGAAAATTAGATGGATAATCCTCATAAAAATAGCACATTCTAAAAGTCTCCAATATGAATTTCTAAACTACGAAAAGAATTATGTTCTATATCACAATGTATTTTAAAAATTTACTTTTTTTTCTGATAGATGAAGCCAAAATTTGTATATTTGATAGTAGTAGACACAAACTAGACACGCAAAATAAAAAAAAACTTAAAGAAAATTCATCCATTTGGAAAATAAATGAAACTTGAATCCAACGAGTAAATATTAGTTAAGTATGAATCCATCATCTTATATAGTAAAGCACGTTTTTACCAAAGAATTCTGCAAGCACAATCAGTCTTAAACCATATATTCATAATCGCAACTTTTATCGAATTGAAAAAAACTTTTTCAAACGTTTTAGATATCAATTGTTGATTTATTTTAAAAATTAGTTAACATTTTCCGAAAATACTTGATGATATTTTGTATACAATATGTTCTACTTATTCTGGTTAGATCGACATCAATCAATCGAGTTGAACTAAGTGAGCCACCTCATTAATCAATACGTGAAATTTTTTACGTGTATTTTGTTACCTTGAAATCATCTTTCTCTGACACTCTTTTATTCTAGCTTTGTATATATAAATAGTCACCTCTCGCTCTCTCTCTCCCTCTCTCTCTCTTTCTCTCTCTCTCTCTCTCCTACCCAGATTATTATGTGCTATCATATTTTCTATTTTTTTTTAATTCTATCTGTAAATGAATAAGAAAACATAAATCTCGCTAATAGTAGAGCAGAACAAGTAATAGAAATAATAAATAAATAAATATATATATATATATATATATAAATCAAATATACTATTGTCTATGATTGGTACATAGTTCAAGGTCAATATTAATAAACGTCCTTGAAATAAAATAGAGGAAAGAAAACGGAACAAAAAAACATCTCATAAAAATGATTTAAAAATATAGATATGTAGATAGAAAGAAAAAAAACAATAATAAACCATTTTCCAAAAACTATTTAGAGTAAGCACAATTTATTTTATTTTTTTAAAAAGAACAGTGTCTCCCCCCGCTATTCTAGTAAATAAACAGTAGTGCTTGATCAGTCTACCTTTAATGCAGGGTGTTTATGTTTATATATTTCTTCTTTTTGCATGTGATAAAAAAAGAAAAGGCCTGGCTAAGAAACGGCGACTACTATAATTGTACATTGAGAGAGAAAGTGCCAGTGAATAAAGCGAAGGATATTGTGTAGAGATAAATTGTCCAAATTTTCGGTTTAAAAACATTATTTTACGGACAACTTGGAATTTTTGTCAAAAAAAAAAGAAAAACAACAAATTTTGTGTTATTGTAAGATGTTTGTTTTTTATTTGATTTGACGTACATTTCAGTACAATAAATTATCAAAACATAAAATATCGATTTGTTGATCATGACTAAATTGTAAGTAGAAAAGTTCAGATATTTGAAAGTATTAGAGTAACGAATTAGAAAAAACTGAATTCCATACACAAACGTACATTTCCTTCAAAGAGTTAAACTGAACTGAAACACAGAAACTTAAAATATCAAAACATAGACAATAACACTGAATTATTCAACGTTTTTGATCAGGATGAGGGACGAGAAGTACCGATCTCTTCCTGGGGTTTTGACTTTTCGTCAGTATTTTTATCCGTTACTTTTCAATGTGGAAAAATGCTTTGCGTAACTTTTTCTTTGATCTCAGTAGAGACCGACCATAGCTGTGACTATGGACTCAGTGCAACATATAAGTTTAAAAATAACTCTTTTTATTTTCTTGCTGATCACTTTCGGTCGAATCTATTTTTTTATCGCTTTCTGCCAAGATTTTAATTCCTGGACTAAAAACAATCAGTATCTCAGATATTATTGACAAGAAAATAGAGTACAAAAAAATGTTTGGTTTAATAATTATGTTATGTAGCGAGAAAAAAATCTTTCTTGAAGTTGATCTCTTGTTTGCTTACATATTTTAAAACTGTAATAATATTTTATTCTTTTAACATTCCGTACTTTTTAAGTCAGAAATGTAAAATGATACTGGTCGCGACTCGATTTTTTTACACTGAAGGGAGAAAAGTTCATTCCACCATAGTTAACAGAAGAACCAAAGTTTGAGAAAAAACATATAAAAAAACTTCTTGTTTTTACTATTTAGTTGCCTTATTGAATTCTTTTCCGCATATTGTCGTCTAAGAAAGTGTTCATTTTACCTTTTCTCGTTTTGTTCTGTTTCTTTCTATTATTAAATGAACATAAATCTGGACTTACTTCTTTCTTTCTTTTTTTTCTTAGTGGCTAGACAGGAATTAAAACATTACAAATCGATGTAATGTATAATAATCTCAATAAATAAGCTTTATAAAATACGGCGCTTTCTCTAATTTTCAATGTATACATCTTTGATATTATCAATATTGAATATGAATGGTTTTTTTCTTCGTAAAATGTTGTTATTCAAGAGCAGTTATTTAACGAGTTTAATTCGTTTTATTCTCAGAATGTAATTATATTTCAATTACTTTTTTTTCTAGACCAGTGAGGTCACGTTTTTCTGTGGATTATTTGACTTCTACGTCGTCAATGATTCCCGAAGCAATTGGATCATATAACATGATGGATCATATAACATTTTTTAAAGGTGTTAGAGAAACACGAAAACAATTGCAATTAAATGACGGATATCATAATGGTAAACAATGTAAGTATTTTAATACGAAACTTTCGACAAAATCTTTTTTGTTCATTTTTTTTTCTAGGTAAAGATAATGTATCATCAAGTAGTGAAAATGCGGTTTTAAATCAATTACTTAAATCAAAAATGCCACAATCATTATCGTATACAAACAGCATGAAAAAAGAAAATAGTGCAGAATGTTTAACACAGAAAAAAACAACAAATAATAATCATTCGACTAACGGATCCAACGGACAAGATCAACACATTCCATCGCAATTACCTATCGAACGAAAACATCAGACTTCTGATTTAAATCCATTGTTATCATTATCATCATCCACTATTACTTTAACATCATCAACAAGTATTTTGAATGGACAATCATCACCTAGAAGTACCAGATTACAGTCACCAACAATGATTCATATAAATAGTACAAATTCGATGGATCTCAGTTCTCCAACATCTACAAGTACAACGAATACCGACGATACTTTAACATTAAATAATCAAGATGTTGATATGAAATGTTTTAGTTCAATGCCATCGACGCCATCATTATCACCAAAACCACTTGTTAAACAAGGTGAACCGCCTCGTTGTAAATCTCATCCAATGATATCGTCATCATTGTCATTATCCTCTAACACTCATAGACATCATGAACCAATAGGTTTTACATCTTGTCCGTCATTAGAGCTATCGACATTGTCGTCGTCTAGTCACTCGAATACATCAGATAATAATAATAATAAAAATAGCAGCGAAATGACTATTTCTTCAACATCATCATCACCCGATATACCAAAAATAGCACGTTCATCATCTGTTAAATCGTGTGCTAGTGATTCAGGTGTTAGTTCTTCATCACCATTGTCAGATAATTGTCATGTACATAGTAATAATACAATTATTTACAATCACCTTACTAATTCTCAACAATTAACAACAATTTCAATAAATGGTGGCAGTAGAAAACGTAAAAACTTAAGTAATATTTCCGAAGAAAAACACGATAAAAAAATGTCTACAGAAGCTATAACAACATCTGGATTTTCTTATAATTCTACTACGAATACACCATCAGCAACAGTAACCATTCCAACACCACAAGAACAAACTGCAGCTGTTTTGGGTTATGCTCAATATGCCTCGTTCCTACATACATTATCGCAACAATTTCGTGTGAACTATCCAGCAGCACTATTGCATTCAGCTGCATGTGCCGCTGGTTATTTACCACTGCCAATGTTATCATCAGATGGAAATAGTTTTTCATCAAATCCATCATTGTACAATCCCAATACTTCTCGATTAAATAATGAGCCATCAATGAATCGATCATCGAATACAAATAATGGTGCTTCATCACCAACAACTACAACTCCAAATGTTGGTGATTCAATTACAAAATTGCGTCAATTAAATTTAGAACGTGAACTGAATGCCGAGAATAATCGACGACGAGAAAAAAATTCACAAATACCATGTTCAAATACCATGAATGAAAATGGTTCGTATGATAAACCAGAAGGATCGGCGCACGATATATCTGCACGATTAAATTCAATGCCAGCAACTTTCGCTCATTTTTTTAATTCAGATAATCAAAAATCAAATAACACAACGAGTTATTGTCCAAATACAACATCCATATTACAATCGTCATCATCTAATAAAAAAGAAATCTCGGAACAACAACCCTATCGTCGTGAAACATATCAAACATTATTGGAAAGTAGTCAATTAATTACTCAATCATCATCTCATTTTCAATTACCATTAAATAGTACTAATCATCAACTAGCAAAACCTGTCCCAATTGATCTGAGAAAACAGTCAAATGGAATTCGAACGATATCAAGTAAGTCTATCTTCTCCATCATTAAACACCAATAATACACAGATGATTATTAATATTTTTAGGTCCTTCATCCTATACACCGCACACTGATCAACATAAAATAACAACAACATATGGTTTTCGTATTTCTTCATCACCAAATTCAATTCCATCCTCTCCATCATCGAGTAATGACGAGATAAACAATGAAAATCAACCTTCAACAAGAGAAGATACAACAACAATCAAAGGTAAAAATCGAAATTCCAACATTATAACTACAAATGGTGGACAATCTCAAAATGAATATGTGTGTATACCAAAAAAGTTGATGCCTGTTGTGGTGGCACGTGTCAATGATTGGTTAGAAAAAAGTGTACATTTTGTATTAAATCTTGATGCTGTTAAAGAATCAAATAGTACGGATGAAAAGTTATTATTACTTTCACGTAAGTTAATATCAACAGTCTTCAATTTGATATTAAATTGACTATTATTTCATCGATTACAGGTTCATGGCATCGATTGTTATTAATCAGTATGGTTGAAAATGGTTTTGAAATATATGTAACAAAAGATTTACAAATTAATAATAACAACATTAACAACAATGATGGTACAATGAAACGATGTACAAGTCCAATAATAAATAATATAAATTATCCAACAGAAAATGATGTTAAACAAATAGAATCACTAATATCACGTGGAAAAGCAATTCAAATTGATGATGTTGGATTTAATTTGATACGTGAAGTAGTGATTTATAAAGAAGGTATAGATTCAGATCATTCATTACTAGACTTGATTTTTTGAAAAAAAAATATTTCCCTTTAGGAAAAACTCTGTTTGCATCGAATTCATTATTTGAACGAGCCGAAACAAATGCACAATCACGTTTAACAAACTGGTCAAGATCAAATTCAAAATATTCTAAAATGGTCTTTTTCCTATGTAACATTTATCAAGTAAAGGAAGAAATATTTGAAAAATTATTTTGTTCTAGTAGTATGCATATGACTAGTACCATTCAAAATCATTTACAACGAGAAGTACATCGATTTCTTGCATTATCACCCGTATCATCTATATCATCATTATCATCAATAGTTGACTAAAATATTTTGCTATTACAACAGTACACTTATACTAGAAAAACAGTGATAAAAGTTGGGTACTTTAATAAAGTCTGATCTTTCTTTCTTCTTCATCTTTTAAATGTTGTTTTGTGATTTTATTTTTCTTGTGATTTTGCGTTTTTCATGATGGTATCTTGTTGAACCTTAAAATTATTTCTGTACAAATTCTCTTTCGACTTTTGTGAAACATACCTTAAAGTCAAAATATTCAGACGACTCTACTAAGTAAAATGTCGTCTCTAATGCGCATACATAAAATATGATGCTTATCACTAAGCATTTAAAAAAGTTAGCATATATTTGGTTGGTGTGACACACTGAGGAACATACATGAAAACGATTCGATGTAGTCTCATAACTTTTTTTTTAAACAAGCTTCTTATTTCTTTTTTGTGTTTGCCCATCAATAGTATATTTTTGTTATGCGCGATATATTTCGGCTCTGTTATTAGCATTCATTATTTTCGCTATTTCTACAAGAAATACATCATCGGATTTTCGTTGTATATTGTGAAGAAAATTTTCTTATTCGTATAATGTCATAATTTTGTGGATGTTGTTTCTGTTATTGCTTAGTTTTTCTTCTATCATATCGTGTTTTTTTCCATTTTGTTTTCGTTGTCTATACCTTATTGTGTAGTTGAATAAGAAAAAAAAGAATAGCAACAATTACTATAATACTTTCTTTTGTGAAAAAAATATAAACGAATAAACAGAATCACACGCTAATTAAAAGAAACTGTAAGACCGTTTTTTTTATTGAAGAAAATATGAGCATATCATTCGAAATTTGCAATTTATTTTCTTATTTTCATAACAGATTCTTTGCAAAGGCCAATATCTCTCCAAATCACTCGATCGATTCAATAAATTTATCAATTACAGTTTAATCGTGAGCTTATTCCACAGCGAAGCATTTGTAAGGAAAATTTGCTTTCTCTCTCATAATCGGACACATCTTTTAAGAAAGTTTCGGTGTTCTTTACAGGCAAACTGTGAATATTTGGAAGCGATTACTTTTTTCATTAGATCCATGATAAAAAAAGTCTATCACTATTGTATAGATACGATGTATTAAGTAGTTCTTTATTGACACATATGATCATATAAATTATTACAGTTTATGTATCATGTGTGTTTGATCAATCCCGACATGCGGAGTCATCGTTTCAGTTCAAACGCTGTTGTATTGTTTTCTCTGGATATGGTCAAAAAAACAAATGATAAAGTTTATATTGTTAGATATATTGAATGTATGTATATAACCAGATAGAGTAGAATGGCATAAGAAAAAAGAAAAAACTTTTTTCTTTTTTCGACGTTAACGATGATGTTTTTGTGTCCTTGAAGAGAAATTTTTGTTTTCTTCCACCTTGTTTTTCTTAAAAGACTTTTGATAAGAATTTTTCAGGTTTTTTATCAATAATCGTGCAAGAACTTTTTCTGGTTTGTCCTCATCTGTTCTTTTTTGAAAATTTTGATTCTTTTTTTTTATTTACATACATAGAATAATCTTTTTTTCTTTCTGGTAGTAGCAATACTGCTGATAGAGAGGAGTAGAGAGATTTGGAAAAGAGGAAACAAGGTTAACCTTGTCCGTACTAAATCTTCTCGCGTAATTTTCCTTAGCGATTTTACCAGAAAAAATTTCTTTATCCCGTTCTCTTACATTCGAAGGAAATTGGAGCAGAATACTGATCCCAAAATTAAATTACAAATATTTTGTTTAATGCAGTGAATATAGGCATGCACCAGTTACAGTTAACTGTAAAACTGTAACTATCAGAACTGTAACTGCTCATAACTGTAGACAAATATTCTAGAGTGAATTAGTCTTCTACGATTTGCATACATTTTAGGGATGTCTCTGTTCTTAAAATGTCTCCAAATCGTAGAAGACTAATTCACTCTAGAATATTTGTCTACAGTTATGAGCAGTTACAGTTATACAGTTACGACAGTTACAGTTATAACAGTTACACTGTT